TTCGATGAAAACGTATAGAGAAACACTTTCGCATGTCGAGATGTTCATGATATGTGTGTGTGCTGGCGCTCACGGGCTGTTCCACAGGCACACGCAAAGCTTGAAGGTAAACAAACAACGGCTTATCATAAGCATCTTATCGATGATTATTTACACAGTTTGCATTAAGATGAACATATAAACGTTATCTGACTAACATCTAGCAGCTAAATGTGTCTGGCAAAATATTCAAAGGCTTTTATTCTCATAAACGGCGCGGACGTGAATGCATCTGACAGTTCTGATTGGCTAAAGCAGATGTCTCACGTCAGCACGTTCTAGATGTGCACGCGCTCTTTCCGGCAGTCTTCCTTCTGCGTTCACACAGCGCAGCTTTCCGGCAAATTACAGGTAATCTTACAACTTCCCTTTCCGGAAAATAGCCAGAATGAATTTACCTGTATATATGCCTGTTCACACATACACACCTTTCCGGAAAATTGCCGGTAATTTTCCGGAAAGGTGTGTATGTGTGAAAGGGGCTATTGAATCACTATGAATATGTGTTGAAGATATATTCTGACAACGATATATAGCTACATGTGCTGAGGCTGGGACACGGGGTCTTTAGCATAGCATGAACCCCGAGAGAAGTTAAGACCCTCGATTTGAGTTTGCAACAAAGTATCTGTTGATGCTGCAAAGTTGTAAACCTAAACGTAGGCAACAGAAACAGGTAAATACATTCATAATGAGATTAACAGCAAAAGTAAAATATGTATGTATGTAATGCTGTTGAAAACTCGTGAAGAGCTGATAAAATGTGCAAAGGAGTCAAAACAGTGCCAGAAATACCTCTGTTTAAACACAATTCTTATGCAAACAAACAAACAAGTATACTTGAGCATTCTGTCTATTTTATGATTCTATCTTGTGGCATCACTCCTGGTTTTGGAGTTCATTTGGAGCTTTTTGGTCCATGTTGCATTCGTATTTTAGTCAAATCATAACAATATCCATTTTTTTCAGGGGTTTTGTCCACCTTTTTTGTCAAAGGCTGGCAGTGTTCAAACTTATTAAAGTGAAATATGAACAAAAACACAGCGTTAAAGTGATTGTTGACCCAAACTTAACATTTTTATCATCATTTACTTATACCATTGACTTCTTCCAAATCAGTTATATTTTCTGCTAAACACAAGAGAAGATAACCATTGACTTCCATAGTAGTTGTTTTCCCTATGGATGTCAATGGTTAACGGTTTCTACTTCATACTCTATG